AGTTACCAACAAAGAAAGAATAGAAAACCTAAAAATCAGTCTGAACGGGTTACAAGGACTGTTTGAGAGCATAATGGAGGCAAGTTTTGCTGACAGACTCCACCAGCTCAAGGACACTACTCTGACGGCTCACCAACACTGTGGTGTTGAACAGAGAATGATCCAGCAACAATGTCTCAGGCCAACCAGGCCAGACGCAATCGAACCACGACGACGGCATGGAGAAAAGCGACAGGAGCCGACCGCCCTTCTACATCAAAGCTAAAACATTTGCTTTTGCGAGACAGATGTGGAGATCTGTTGCAGCACGGACGGGGTTGGTCGCACAAAATTTTTCTGCAACTCAAAGCCCTAAGCTACCAAGAAAATGAGAAATACTCATGTCAAAGGCGATTATCTACGCTTCCTCATTACCGGTATCACAAGGTGCTGAAGCAGTCATGGACACAGAGAACAAGGATAAAGAATCACTGGACAAAATGCTTGCCAAGTTCATTGCTACAAGTAGGCATAAAGATTCCGAATCTTCAGATGATTTTATGGAGTCACTGTTCTTTATAAATTTCGTAAAGATGGTACGAGAATTTGGCTCTCCTTATCAACTGCCGGACCATGAAACTCTGAAATCTCACGTGATTCCAAAAGTGGTGACAGAAATGGAGGAGTATTTCCAAGATGTGAAGCAATCTTTAAACAAAACTGGTTGCACCATAATACCTGATATAAAGTTCAGATCATGGTATGAACTGTTGGAGAAGACGGAGACTAGCCTTGCTAAATACGTTGAGGCCAAAAATACACCTAACTCTGCTCATTACCAAATCATATAGGGATTGTTTTGTGAAGCCAGAAAAGACATAATCTTTCCAATTCATGAAACTGCAGCTTTTCTTAACCCATCTATCTTGCTTGCCCAGAAATTCAAGGAAGCTGATCTCCAGTTCAATTGGATTAAACAATTAATATCCAACCTCATTTTCTTGAGTGATGACAAGGAGAAGACTTGTACCTCACAATTGATACAGTACCAGTCCATGGACCCAACTCTATTCACAGACAGTGCCATAGAAAGGCAAAATTACCCCATCCCAGAATTTGGTGGGAGAAATGGGGGGATTGCTTTGCTGAAATGCAGAAGCAAGCGATTCGAATATTGAGCCAGGGGTGTAAGTTCGTTTGCTGCCATGAGTTGGATAATAAGAAAAATGTATTGGGTTGGAGAATGGGGATGATGGAGAGGACCGGAAAAGCAAAAAAAAGAAAAAAAAGAAACAGGTCAGGGAAGGAAGGGAGGCAGAACATGTTGGAAGTTGAAGATGTGGTTATCAGGAATAACAAGAAGAACGACAGATCTAGTACTTACATGGAAAGGACACTCACCTTTTATAAAACTCTCTCTGTTTCTCTCTCTGTCTCTCTCTCCCTATATATATATATATGTATATATATATATAAATATAAATTGTTGAAGTCACTTATCAGAGTTGAACAAGTACTGCACCCCATCCAATTAAGTAGTCATCATGTGTTGTAATGGGAAGACAAAGAAGCTGCAATTTTCGTTCACTTCGTGATTCATTCCAAGGATAGAACTGGAGTCAATGGAAAAGGTTAGAGATGATTTTACAGCCATTATTTCAAGTCATGTCTCTGAACCTTGAGGACAAGGTTCCTGAAAAAGGAGGAGGTAATGTTACACTACAACTTGTAGTAGTAGAACGTGGGGAAGATAGCCGTTGTAACGGACCCAGTCAAGGCAGTTGATTCTATTATCCTATTTTCGATTTCATACTCTTTTCCATTGTCGTAATTACTTAAAAGTAGGGATTTTTCAGTTCACTTTCGTGTATTTAAAGCTGGAATGAAGAAGCTATGAGTCAGGCAATTTTTTAATTTAAAATCTTGTAGTTTATTCTCACCCAAAGAGAATTTCTTTACCAATTTTCTTTAACTTCTGACTGGGACCTATCATTAGCATTATAAAAATAAAAGCTACATTCCTAATGTGCAATAAACTTAGCATTAAAGATATATTACCAAGCATGTAAATACCCAACTAATGCACTTGCAAGAACCTGGCATTTTTGCAAGTAGAAGAAAACTAATGAAAACTTTTCAATCATGTTGCTCCAAGCAATGCTACTACCACTCTTGAGGAAGAAACTAGGTGAATATACATTTTTTTCCTTCCCTTATTTCTATTCTCATCCTCGCCTATCATCTGGATTTTAGATTGTCAAGTTCAATAGGATATATAGAAGTATTATGCATAGATTACAGAACTATATACACTGCAAGAACTTACTAATGCCTTCCTGCAAGATCAGATCTTAAAAAATAAAGTGACTATAAAGATAAGTAGAAAACTTCTAGCAAATATCAAAAACTTCAAAAGAAAAAATTCCAACATTGTCTCCAACACTAATTTAATAGGTCCAACAGTAAACTATTTTAAAGCAAAGCACAAGCTAAATTCAAAACTTTGACAGTGTTGATTAACCAGATTAAGTTTCTTTCCTCTCTTATGTGTCCATCAAATCAGAAAAACTTTTAGTTTGTCAAAAGGGCAGTAAAGAAGTAATGCATGCTTCATTTAGATGCTAATAATAAACTGAGAGAATAAAAGGAAAACAATTTAGTCAGTATGCAATTAATTGAGATAAGAGGCAACCCAAGGACACTGCTCAACAAGAAATAACTGGATTAGCAATTCCTTAGCAACCAGATTAAATTCAATACATACCAAGAAAAAATTTATGAACATGCCTACCAGGTAATATGTTAAGATTTCGACGTCTATCTTGAGCATATCAAATGTTATAGCCACTATTTGCAGCCAAAAAAGATGATATTATCATCTTCAGGGAACAAATACAAGCTAGCATTAAAAACAAACTTATTTTCTAACAAATTTAATCAACAATGACTTTGCCAGATAAACTGGATAAACAAGCCAAACACAGACTTTCATTAGTCAGTAATGGTTGATAAACTAGCCAAAAACAGATATTAATCACTCAGTAATGATAGATAAAACACATTTCTTAAAAAATCATTTTTAGATGAAAAAATTAACCCATTCAACAAGCTAAACCAGGGAAACAACAACTACAGAGAAAGCAACATAAGCCAGCAAGCAAGGTTAAACGATTAAGAAACAAGCAAACTACACTAAATTAATGGTCTAACAGATCAAAATAACTCTATCACAGAAGACTGATCTGCATTATAGAAGCAGGAACATTAAAAGAAAATCATCTCGGACCAAACACAAGATTGGTACATTAGTTTCCTCTGCCAAGAAGCTGTGCGTGAAAAAGGCCAAAAGCAAACACTCATGACAAGATTATCAGCATTGTAGGGTAAAGCACATATCAATCATATCTATATTATTTGTTCACCCAGTAACTAATGTAGATAACAAAGGAATGAATCCTCATACAGAAGATCAAGACTTCTAACCGGATCCAAAAAATAAGCCTGCGTGTGATAAAACAATCACAAGCAGCTTCGTATAGGCGAGAGAATTTCCCCATAGCCGCATCTCAAAATCAAGAACAGCATATCAAATTTTCATATAACCGAAGAAAACAGGGGAACTCAAGGGATAACTAAGCGAGCAATACACTTTATTGCTTTAACCAAAACCAGAAAATCAATTAATCATTTTCTTCTCTTCCATCAGTTTCTCATCAATCAAACATAGAACAGTAACGAACTCTCCAATTTTTATTATGTTTCCAGAAAACTTGCACAAACGTGAAGAAAAAGGAAAATGAGCGATTACCCATAAGAGAAGCTTCGAGCATGTGTTTGGACATGAGGACCTGATCCGTTGGGTTGATAGCTCCGGCCTCGATGGTGCGTTGCTGGATCTTGACCATACTGTAGACGCTGGAGAGGAGGACAGCGAAGACGGTGGCAGCCACGGTCTTGACCATGACAGGGCCTCTCCCTCGCTTGACACGATCCAAGCTCAATATCACGAGTTTCCTTAGAGGGGTCTTGAAGAGGAGGGTCATGATCAGCGCCATCTCGGCGAAGATCACTGTGTAGAGTAGCTGTATCATTTCCGGGTTGTTTGAAAATCAGAAAGGAGATGGAAGATGGTGTTGGTTTTTGCGTGCAGTAGCTTCTAGTAGCGGGCTGAGAGAGAAGGGGTGTAGCTTTTCACAGTGAAACCCGTTGGCTGAACCAATGGTAATTCACCACGTTCGCACATGGTTTTGTCTCGATTCTTGTGTCGGCCATCAACCGTTGAAGAATCAACCCTTTCCACCGCGTTTGTTCAGCGTTTTCTTTCTTTCTTTTTTTTTTTTCAAAAAAAGAAGTGTTTTCTTTTTCTTTTACTAAAATAGCAATCTCCTCTATAATTTTTTATTTTTATTCAAATTAATTCATGTTTTATTCTATATTAAATTAGTTCACGTAATTTTATAAAAATTTTGATTTAGTTCTTTTCTATAATAAAAATTAAATATATTGATTTAAAATATCATGTGATATATTTATTAATACATAATATTTTTTTCTTAATATAAATATTAGTTAAATATAATATAAGATATCACGTTATACCTTATATTATATTTTTTTTAGTTTAAAATAATTTAAATTCGTTTAAATAAAAAAAAAATAAAAATTTTTAATTTTCCTAAATCCCCAGAAAGCTTAAAGCCACCTTCTTCTTCTTCTTCTTCTTCTTCCTCATCTCAATTAGCAAATAGCCAAATTTATTTTCTTTTGGTTGCGTCAATATTTAAGATGTTTCTATTAATCTTCTCACTTTCGTCAATATCTACTTCTTCGCCAAGAATTTTGTAAAAATGATCATTCTTATTTTTATGTATATATAAATTTACAAAACTGAATTTTAATTTTACGGACAGGTTTAGACAAAAATTTTTATTTAAAGAGATAGATTTAAGAAAGTTTATCTAATCACCTATCCATTTGTGTTGAGTCACGGTGCTCCTTCACATGATTATGATAATAGCGATCTTTATATTTCATGCATGAAACAACGATGTATCTTATTGATGTTGGAGGTGATAATACTTGAAAATTTTATAACTGAAATGGTTATATAAAGAGATTCAGAGAATTTTTTATGAAAGAATCGATAGTTCCTCTACTATTTTTAGAAATAGTCAAAATTAAAATATAATATCAAATATCATGTGATATCTAACATAGCAATTAATTAATATTCGAACGAATAAAAATTTGTCATGTGTTAGTAAATATGATACGAATCATCTTAAATTAATAATGTTTATTTTTGTTATAAAAATGAATTATATCGAATTTTTGAAAAATATAGAAATTAATTTGGCAAAAATATAAAACAATAACTAATTTTTTTTTTTGAAAAATAATAATTAGTAAAACAACCAAACCATTATTTTCTCTTTTCTTTTATTATTATTAACTCCTCACATTATATATGCATACATATAGAGTCAACTATTAAAAAATAAAAATAATATCTCACTTTTTCTCATTTTTAGGTTTATCCATTATTTTTTCAATTTCTAAACATTAAGCCAATATTTTTTTTATTTATTTATCCAAACATTTTAAAACCAAATAAGATTCTAAATGAATTATATTAACCTACGTAATCATATAAGAAATATTGTTTATAACATACAAGATAGTAATATTGTTTAAAAGTGCATCCTAATATAAGAAAATGAGGTTTGGTAATTTGTTTATTATGGTTGTTTGCAAATCAACAATTTTATGTACTACAGATCTATGCATTTAACACACATATCTTAGTTAACTCTAGCATCCGAAAATCGATGCCCTTAAAATTCGTAAGAAACTCTAACCATGCTTATAACACAACAAAATCTAGAGGATCTACTATTTGTCGCTCGTTTTGTACAAGAAATTGGATATGTAATAAATGCTTATGAGAGTTTCATTAATACCATGGAGCTATTTATATAAGTATTACAAAAAAAAAAAAAAAAAACATTAAACACTCCTGACCTTTCCAAGTGAGTGCCAATAAATGATCTAGAAAGAACTTCAAATGTAATTTGTTCTAAATTATTTTTAGAACATGTTTTAATATTATGTATATATGTTCATGCAATATACTACTAATTGCGTTTTAGTTTGTGCTAAAATTTTAAGTACATGCTGACCTCTATTCCTTCGTTTCTGTTATGCTTTCTTGAACTATGCACAACATCTCTTTCATAATTAACATTTCCCTGCATTTAGCCTTAAGTTTTTCTTCATTCACATTTAGATTATCAGTTTCTTTCTTGTTCAATTATGATCGGCAGGAGAAGGAATCTGCTGCCGTAAAAATTCTGTAGGTAGGACTAATTAGCAGCAGCTGAACAAGCAAAAAACAAATAGAACTATACAAGAGACTTTCTGCAACAGGTACAATTCTGCTCAAGTGATGAAAAGAAATCTCATGTCTGCCTCAGTCAATTTTCCCAAAGCCTCCGTGGAGCCACCGACAGTCCTAGTGACAGGCACAAGAACCTATTAGAGCAAAATCAACAGATAATATATATAATTTTGGTTACATCAGACTTACCCTTCAAATACTAATTCCTTCTTTTCTTGTAGCTTCAAAATCCTCTCTTCGACAGTATTCTCAATGACAAACCTCACAACCCTACAAAGCAGGACTCAGTGTTAGCCCTTTCAAGATTATACTTTATTGAATCGTGGAACAGGAGAGATTTTATGCTCTCAGAGCACAATATCAGACATATATACTTGGACTAAATAATTTACTTCGTCACACCATATCATATCTTATCTCACACAAACTTAAAATCAGCCAACCACATGCTGTTGGTTCTTCAATCATTTTTAGTTCAGGACAATGAAATAATTTTCATTGGAACAGAGAGCCGAATGCTAAGAACCTGATTGGTTTGTACTGCCCTATTCGGTGGATTCTATCTTGTGCTTGCTGCTCAACAGCTGGGTTCCACCAGGGGTCCATCAAGAAAACCTGTACGGGCACAACACCAGGCTAATCATCGGTAGGTAAACCACATTTTAAGACAAGAAAATGGACCAGATAACATAACAAGTACGTCAAAATGCATGATGCATTCAAATAACAAAATGAATTTCTAGTTACCAAACAATGATTTAATGAAAAGGATTGAATAATGGACAGATATTGCCAAAAAACTTCAAGAAAGATGTTAAAAAATAATATCTACCTCTAAGACAACCAACTTAAACTTGCATTTCAAGCATGAACGAGATTTCAGTTCAAAAAAATTTTTCCCAGGAACTTTCCAATGACTTAAGCAGCAAAATTAGGCCTTCTTCATTCTTTTACAGTGAATTTATCAAACAAGACAGAATTAACTAATCAAATAAAGGAGCAAGAACACCTTGTGGATGATACAATTTGCGAATAGCACAATGCAACGCCAGGCATCACTTACATGCGATGCAACTGTGAGATTGAGGGCAATGCCTCCAGCTTTCAAACTCATGAGGAAAATCTTGCAGTCTGGATCCTCAGTAAACCTCTTGATAGCAGCATCTCTTGCAGGTATGGACATGCTGCCCACCAACTGAACACAATTTATGCCAGACTGCAAAAATCTCCTGTGGTTAACTTTCTTCTTCAGGTTAAAAAGAAAACTAAAAATGCAAGACTCATTTTACCTTATGGAGAGAATAATTTATGAGATCCAAGAATGATGTAAACTGGCTGAAAACAATTCCTTTAGCTGAACCATCTCTTTCAACCATAAATCTGATTTCCTCCCGCTACATCCATGCAAATACAGAGAAGCAATCAAAGTAGGAAAAAGGACACACGTGTAACAGATACAGATGTGTAAAATCTAATTCAAACCACTTCCTCCACAATCTCAAGTTCATTTTCAATTCTATCAAATTAAGTGTAACTTGAAATGTACTTATTCAATTCCATAATGCAATTCATTTTGAAACAAATTCCATATTTTGGACCAATTATCAAAATAAAACATGGATTTGCCAAGATCTACACTTCTTACAATATTTGAATCACACAAGAATGACACAAATTTAAGTAGCACCTACCAAAGCCTCAATTTTTGTGCTCGTCTGGAAATCATTTAATCGGATTCTATTCAGAATACTTGAGCGCTTAAACCCCTTAATGGTTGTTTTCATTGTCTGATCTCCAACATCCATCTTTGTTGTCAAATCCACGGTAAGTAATTTTGAGCAAGATGGGCATGATACTTGTCCGAGGGCAGCAGAGAAATCAATCAAGCAAGCTTTACAGAAGACATGTGCACAAGAAGTAACCTAGATGGTAATGTTGGCAGAAAATAATTAGAAGGAAAATCAGTTAAAGATAGGTGTAAAAAGATACAATTCTGACGGAGAAGAGGAATGCAGAAGTTATTTAACACTATGAAGCCATTTTTCTTTTTTTTTTTCTTTTACTCTCACTTGATTTGTAATTAAGCCTAAAGGGCAAAGTGAAGGAGCACAACCAAGAGACTTACAACAGGATCTTCTGCTTGATCATGGCAAATGCCACATACTTGTTCACCATTGCTAATATCAACAGTGTTGCCACTTTTGACTGCAGCACTACTAGAATACTCCACAAGGTAAGGATGATCAACTGCCTGTCAACTTACAGAAAAAACATATTAGAAGAATATTCACAGAGAACTAAAGACTAATTACAGCAATGATAATAATGAATATTGTTAAGAATGATTTGATGTTTTATTGAATATTACAACTCTATATATACAAGTTTTCTAAGATAAAAAAGAAAATAGATAATTAACTACAATTAATTAAATATGATGTATTTCACCCTTGTACCCTTTAACAATATGATGTATTTCAACCTTATACCCTTTAATGTAATTTACGGCAATGATAATAATGAATATTGTTAAGAATGATTTGATGTTTTATTGAATATTACAACTCTATACATACAAGTTTTCTAAGATAGAAAAAAAAAGATAATTAATTACAGTTAATTAAATTTGATGTATTTCACTCTCCTTCAAGGTAGGGAGTATGTTGTCCATCTCTAATTTGCCAACAAGTGTTTAGAATGCTGGATTGCTCAAGTCTTTTATCAACACATTTGTCAGTTAAGAATTAATAGACATATACAAGGTACATTTTATATCACTATCAAGTTTCTCTTTGATAAAGTGTTTATTAATCTCGATATCAAGTTGTATGCAATGCTTATGACTGGCGTGTTGTCACAATCTAAGCGCATGAGACTTTTCCACTTGATTTTTAATCATTTAAAATTCTTCATATCCATAATACTTTACATATCCTTTGTGTCATTACTCGTAATTCTGGTTTTGCACTTGATTTACCAACTAAATTTTATTTCCTACTTCTCCAGGTGACTAGATTGCCCCTAAAAAAAATACAGTATCCTGTAGTAGATCATTTATTTACAATTGAACCCCACATAATCTGCATTCATGTAGATTTTTAGAAGCAGTATATCATTCTTCCTGAAAATGTTTCTTTTTATGGGTGACCTTTTTAGATAATGCAATTCTCTATAAACTACTTATAAGTATACTTTTTTCATGTTGTCATAAATTAACTTACAATACTCACAGTATAGATGATATCAGGTAACTAATTTCTAATATATTTCATTGTTTACTAGAGTATCTTCTTCTATTCATAATTTGTGATTGGGATAAATATGAGTAATAACTATTCTGCATGCTAACTTGTTAATATCTCTCAGCGACTCATGAATGTATTTCTACTGAGAAATGAAAATCCAGAATTTTGAGCAAAGGAGTTCAATTCGAAAAAAATACTTTCAACTTAGTTAGTTCTTTGATTTCAAATTCTTTTAGCAGACAGTATTTTAGTATCAATTTTTCTTTCTCATCATTTCTTGTTATGGTAATGTTATCAACTTATACTAGAAGGATTATAATCCCCTGTCTTTGAGTGCTTGATGAACAGAATGTGATCTTCTTGAACTTGCTTAAATCCCAGGTTTATCATTACCCTTGTGAGCTTGTCAAAACATGCTCTTGACGATTATTTAAGTCTAGCCAATGTCTTCTTCAATTTATAGACCTTATTTTGTCTTGCTTCTCTATCAAAGCCTAGTGAGATATCCATGTGGATCTCTTCTTCTAAATCTTCATGTAGAAAGGAACTTTTATATCAAATTGTTGCATTTTCCAAATAAAGTGAGCAGTTAATAACAACAAAATTCGCACAATATTCATCTTGGCTACTGGTGTAAATGCCTCTTATAGTCTATCCTATAAGTTTGTGTAATATTTTGCCACAAGTCTTATTTTATATCTCTCGATTGCCTCATCAGTCTTGTATTTGATTGTAAAAACTCATTTTCCATGTTTGGTTATTTTGAAGCGTCTGCATTTCTACATTCATAACATTTTTTTTTTTAACAAGATGATACCTTAGATATTATGTTAGAAATAGATTCAGCATTCAAATTTATAAGGAAATTTTTATGAGATGATGAAAATTTATCACATGACACAAATAACCATTCAAATTTATACTAGAGCTTTTCTTTGCACCAATGTTATTTTGGGATCTTGTGGAAAAGAAAAGCTCTAGTAGTGGCAAAAAAATGACCATTCTTGCTTTCCGTGACTCCATTTTGATGTGGAGTGTGAATACAAAATGATTCATGAAGAATCCATTCTTGATAAAAAAAATGATGAAAGTGTGTGGTAAAAAAATCTTCAGTGTTGTCAGTGCGAACTCTTTTTATGTCAATTTCGAATTAGATTTTGATTATATTGTAGAACTGAAATATGATATGCCTTACATCATATTTGGTTTTAAGTAAAAACAACATTTTTTTAAAAATAAAGTATGCAATGTATTATAATAAGCACCAAAGTGGGAGCAACCATTTACACGCATTTACCACTCAGCTGTCATGAGACAAAGATCGCAAAAAAGCCTCCATGGCCACTGTTGAATGACTCCTCAACAAAAACTCTAGGGTCCTAAACCATCTATTCTTTAGGATATCAAAATCTTTAAAAATATCAACCCAATCAAAAGCCTTTCTATTCCTCTTCTTCCAAACAATCCACCAAATGGTGAGTAGGATAGCTCCTGCAGATAAACATGTACTTCGCAAAAACTCCTACGCGTATAACTCATCTCTGACCGTCCCTACCATTACCCACTTGATTCCCAACACCCTATAAACCAATGCCCACAGCTCAAAAGTAGTAGGACACCGCATCAACAGATGATTACAACTTTCCTCCGCCTTCAAACACATAAAACAACGATTAACCAACACCTGTCTTCTCCTTCTTAATTTATCAATGGTGAGAATGCATTCTGTACTCGCTTCTCAGTTAGAAAAAGACACACTAGGAGGAATTTTGACTTTCCAAATCTACTTGTGAGGAAACAACACAGCATCATTAACTCTCATAACCAACCACCTGTACCATGATTTTACCGTGGAGGAGCAATTTTTTGTAAGTGTCCATTTCGGCCTATCATCTTCATCATTAAGCGAAATGTAAGATAAGGTACCTAAAAGCTTTCTACACTTGCCAACTTCCCAATCATTGATGTTTCTAGACACCATCACCTGCAATTCTCCTTTACCCCAGTCTCCCCATCGTAACAGTCACTAATGATGGCCTCTCTGTCCTGAGCGATTGAGAAAACTTGTGGAAATTTGATCATGAGACTCCCCCCTTCCATTTAGTTATCTTTCTAAAAACTCACTTTATCTACCCTTCCCACCTTCTAATACAATTTACAAACTTCTCCTTGCCCTCACCGATTTTTTTCCATAAACTTCTCCCATGATGTCTCAACACCCCACCTGCAAACCAGCACTACCCTTCACTCCAAATTTTGCAATTATTATGCATCTCCAAAAAGCCCTTTCCTCAACCCTAAACCTCCACAATCATTTCCATTGCAAAGTTTGATTCATTTCAACTAGTGATCTAACGCCCAACCCACCATACTTAACAGGTTTCTTGATTTCATTCCAGGCAACCAAATGGTATTTCCTGTGATCTTCTGAATCACCCCAAAAGAACTTGCTCTGGATACTTTCTAGCTTTCTAGCAACACTTACGGGAATAGTTATAAGTGAGAGATAGTACATGGGAAGATTACATAAAGTACTCCTGATAAGAGTCAATCACCCCCCCTAAACAATAGGCTCCTCTTCCACCTCGCAAGTCTTTGTTCATATCTATTCACAATTGGCTCCTACATCACTTTATTCTTGTAATTTACACCTAATGGCAATCCCAAATATCTAATGGAAAGCTTAACCATCTCACATCTCATGATCTTAGCCAAATCATCCCGGTCCACCATATCCCCTAGCTGGACCATTTCTGACTTAGTGAGATTAATACTCAAATCCAACACTACCTGGAACCCCATCAAAACACATGCCATATTTAAAATGGCCTCTTTCCTAAGTTAACAAAATAGCAAAACATCATTCATAAAAAAATAAATGAGTCACCTCCTCCCTTCTATCACCCTACTAACATACAGGCCCTTAAACAAATTTTGCTCCCTTGCTTTAACCATCATCTTATTTAAAACTTTCATAACCACAATGAAGAAAAGGGGGGAGAGAGAATCCCCTTGTCTAAAACCTCTTGAAACACTAAAGAAAGACGAAGATCCACCATTTACCATCACTGCAAACAAAACTTTTGGAATGCAAAATTTAACCTGCCTTCTCCATTTAACCTCAAAACTCATTCTGGACAACATATAATTCATATTTAAGTAAGAACAACGCAGTGATTCTAATGCAATCGTCAATAAATATTAAGTGTGTGAGTTGCTTCCATATATGCACAGTCTTTTTCTACAAACTTTTTGAAACTATTGCATCTCTACTGCAATATAAGATAAGACTATGATACTGATCTAGTTCCTACCACCAGGTCTTTAATATGTTAGAATATTCACTAATTGACATATTCCATTCTTTCATAGATCACATCTTAACAGTCATGTCATAAGTCTATAGGGCTTCCTTGACTTTACAGTAGGTTTTGCTCATTGCATCTCATATTGTTTTTGCTATAGGTAGGAACATCATAATCTTACTGACTTTTGGAGTTATGGAGTTTCTAGAGCTATGCCATGAATCATGGAATCCTCTTCATCCCAAGCATCGAATATAGTGTTTTGGTATGATACCAAGAAGATGGCGGAGTTTGCCCTTTCCTTAAGGGTGGTTCGAATAAACTGGGACCAAATTAGATAACTTTTTCCCCGTGAAGCAATAGGCTGTTTGGATTGACTGAAATTTACTAGTGGTACTCCTCATGTGAAAACGGGTTGCAATGTTTTGAGATGTTACCTCTGACATCCTCTAAGTATTTTCTAAAATTTACGATAAAACAAAAAATTATATAAAGAATTTTACTAGAAGGACACACGGTCGTGCACCTGGCAAGAGGAGTTGGAGCGGCAGCACAGACAAAGTTAGCCAAATGAAGGGACATATTGGACCAGCTAGACGACGGGGCATAATGGACCTGCTATGCAGACGGGTTGTCGGTCAGTCAGATGCGGCTGTATTAGGAGATGGCTAGCTAGGTGTCGACTTGTGGTGGAAATGACTAGCTGTGGTGGCCGGCAATGAAGGCTGAACCCTTTAGGGTTTTCTTCCTTCGACAATAAAAACTGAACAGGATTTATAAAAAAATCTAGTATTTCTTAATTTAGCGCTCTAATACTATGTTAAGAACGGTTTTTTGCATTTTATTAAATATCATAGCCTGCTTTAGTATTTCTTAACTTAGGGTTGACTACAATGTCCACTTGTGGTGGAAAAAGCTGGTTGTGGTGGCTAGCAATGAAGGCTGGCCCCTTTAAAGGTTTTCTTATTTCAATAATAAAAGCTTAATAAGGTTTGTAAAAAAATCTAATATTTTCTAACTTAAAATTCTGATACCATGTTAAAAATAGTTTGATGTGTATTTTATTAAATATCATAACACTGTATATACAAGTTTGCTTCTACTCTTCATATTTACATTACAATAATGTTTCACCTGGCGCAAGCGGGTAAGGAGATCAAAAATGTGAGCATAATTATTCATTACAGTTCCTGCCTCAACATACCTGCAAAAAGGAAAGCATAGACAAACCATAAAAATGGATCTAATTTGCTATCACATGAACCATGGATACACAAGCATGTGATCAAATAGCAGTTTCCATGACTATTTGGCAAGTGAATTTACAAGCTAGCAAGTAAAGAATAAAATATGACTTACGTATTAAACTGTGTCTGACTCTCGTTGTACAATGATTCATAATAATCTGCTTCTTTGATATCCAAAGTATCCTGCCTCAGTGAAATCTTTAAAGAATAACATAGGTTATTATTCTAATTCTCTTGAAGTGGCTAATAGTTATAAGTTCCACTCTTTTATAAGTTCTCCTTAGAAGGAACACTTACAATTCTAGGAGGAAGTGCAAGATCAGCAGCCCTGCCCTTTTTTGTGCGTCTCAAAACTACATTCTTCAAAATTTTTTCTTTAAGCAATGTCATAGCCCTTCGCCCAGTATCAAGATTCCCATATAGTTGTATTGGTGTTGCCACATACTATAACCAGGGGTTACAAGGGAAATCAGAATTGGAAAGGTTCCATCAAGCTAACATATTAACATGGAATATTACTTGACAATAAGACAAGAAACAGGATGCAGAACTCACCTTATTCCACCAACAGAAGTGTCTTACACAATTATGAGGACAGTTTGAGCATGCAGTTGATGAACTGTAATCACCATCAATATCCAAAATGTCATGGCAATCAATAGAACCTACTTAAAATTCCAGTGTACAGTAACCAGGAAAAAATAAAGATACATGGAGGAAAAGAGAAACTGAATAAATCTTCTCAAAGAAGGAACATGAACAAAGATAAACGTAAGGTAAGTGGGCATCAGAAATGAACCCGATATCAGCAACAATAGTCACTACGACACAACAATACTTCTCACTACTAGCAAATCAGTGACCAAGGCAGAAAATGGAGAAGCAGGGAAAAATAGGAGAATTGAAACAACAGAATCAATACAAAATGAACTACAAATGCCTTTAACATCATATTTGAGAGAAAAGAAGAAATACATCACAGCCACCAGAGGGGGTGCAACCAAAATTTTAAAAAAGAAAGAAGTCTGGAAACTATAAGTCCCTAACTTTACTAAAGGGGAGACTCAAGGCCCTCAATGGCCAGTTATTTTTGTCCTTCCAGATACTCAGAGTAGCCAGAGGGATAAAAGATAAAAGTTTCTTCC